TCTATGAATTCAATCACAAGGACACAACTTCTACAAGCATCTTCAACTGACGAGACATGTTATTACTCATGATCCGACATTGACGTGATGAACGGTCCTGACCTGGGTACATTAAAGCATCCCGAGCGACTCATCTCTATCACGCAGGTACATAAAGTGTAAAAGTTGAGATATGGAAACAATTGTCTTTGTTTTTAATGACGTCACCGGCTTTAACAAATTACAAATGACACACCTTAATGCAGCTGGGCTTTAAAAGGAATGCGCGACGGGACTTGAAAAATCAAGAGACAAAATAGAGAAAAAACGTTCAGCAGTGTTTTTGGATGTCGGGGAGAACACAAATGATATTCCAGTAACTGACATAGTACACGTGCGCGAAAAGCAACAAATATCAATGAATAAGCATTTGGCAATACAAGAACACCGGAATTGACAAATGCACTACGACGTTTATTGCTATAGAGCCTGATATGTAAATGAAGTAATTTTCACGAAAATGAATACTGCATGAAGTAGTAGTACAGTGGGGTTCTGCCGCAGATGAGGCTAAGAGGCTTATTTTGGGGAATTAAGCCTTCCAGCCCCAATTAAAAACGGCGATGGTCTAGCGAGAGACATCCTTCGATGTGCCGCCAGCCTAGACCCAAAGTTCCGAGCACTGAGGTATCAGCCGGTGATGGTTAGAGCGTTGAACTCATAATCCAGGGTTCACAAAAGGTATCCGTAATATTGAACGACAACTTTGTGGATGGGGTCTGCCATAAACTCGTCCAAGTAAGCTACGGAGTAGGTAGAGTACGGGGCGGTGCAATCTCGGGTCTCGAGGCTATAATCGACTAACATATCCATGAGGCGTTGTAATCGTTCGGTGCCCACGAGACCTAAACTATCGACGCAGGGCTGAGTAAATATCAAGTTTATGGACGTCAACGCCGACACGTCTGAACAACCGTTTTTCGATCAATCTCCACATGCTGACAATGAGACATAAAACAAATCTTTAATAAGGGGGCAATACTGTGTCGTGAGGGACGATCATCAATTCCTCTCGGACGAATCCCCTACCCGGTCCGTCTTGCAAGTAATACAGATTCGGTTTGTCGTCTTTGATGTCCACTCGGTTCGTTTTTATAAGAATCTAATTTTCGCTAGGGCTACCCATTTTTTCAGCAACCTTTTTATTCGACCCGACACCAAGGTTGCTTGAAATTCCAATTAGACATATGGAGTTGCTACAGTATACAGGATACACTCCGACAACAACAACTATGGCAAAACAAATTGCAGCAACTTTCCAAGAAACGGGTATTCGGTGCAGCAAATAGATCCCACACCACCTCCTACTGGAAAAAACGCACGACAACAACCTCGCGACCGATATCTCGACGGTAGACTATCTCGCCGGAAATCTCGGGGAAACCCACATGCAACCACTCTCTGGTCTTCCAGCTTTTGTTGACGACCTCTACGTGTTTGGCTATCTATCTCGCAAAGACATCGTGAGCACAAGGGAAGCGTCCAATGTACGACGGGAGAGCACGGCCACGCGAAAAAAATCGTCAGAGTACTCCACTGGATACTACGCACCACCTACAAAGAGCATACCGAAGCCACCAAAATGTCATATGCCGGTTCGGTCAATGCATTCTATTTATTAGGATTATTTCAAGGAGTTAGGGTTAGGGTTAGGGTTAGGGCTGAGGGTTTAGGGTTTAGGGTTAGGGTAAGGGACATAATCCAATATAGATGGTCCGGTGTAATACGTGAGTACCATTTGTTGTTTTTCCTTTTTTTTAATACTTTTTTTCACACAAATACGGGAAACCAAAAACGTCGAAAGTACACTATGAAATGATTTAATGTAGAAATTTTGGGCTAATGGAAATTGGCCTGGAATTTGCACTCAAGCCTCTTTCACACGCAACATAAATTTTGTTCAGTAATGATTCGAAGGCTAACTCACCCTCGTGCCGTCACTACACATGCTCATGTCTCCCTCGTTCCTTAGTGTGATCCACATTATCCTTACAGTGTTCCCTACATAACTTTTATGTCACAAAATCACCGATTTATATAAAAGCACGTCATTCATGCATGCACCGTGAAATCTACGTCTGACGCCTGACGTCAACAACCCTTTTCAGTTTGAGGCATATCGGCTCATTCCACGCCACACGTTATCTTGCAGATTACGGAATGGGACGAGTGTACCAAATGGCATCGGATCCATTCGGCAATTGTCCGTAGATTAAAATCACGAGACACCTAGTCTACCCGTAACCTTCGTAATTGTCCGTGACCTATTCGACGCTTTCCGTTCATTACCGTGACGTCACAGGAATGACTCGATAAATGTGCACATTATGCAACAGTGTGGACGTAGCTCAGTCGGTTAGCTGTCGAGCTAGCAATCCGAAGGTCGCGGGTTCGCATCCGACGGGTTCTCATAAACTGGTTGTTTGTCTTAATGACACGTGACCTACTCACGAGAAGTTGTGGTGCTGTATTCTAAAGGTGCTCCGAAGTTATTCACCAGAACGGGAGGGTGGGGTCTAGCATTAGCATATATGTACTCTGGAATGGAGGCAAGAATGTGAATGTTACGATTTGGCAGCCACTGACGCTTTAGGACCGTGCTGGATGCAAATGGAAAACGCCTGGCCAGCCGTAAAAGTGCTCTGTCTTCACGATGTGACGTCACATGGGACGCCCTGAACGTGAACGGCCCTTCACTTGATGAGTCTGGCCATGTTTTCTGCCTAGTCTGCTAATTTCGCTGTAAAGATAGCCTGTTTGCCTTCCGATTGCCTTGAAGGACTTCCCTGCTGTATAGCAACCAAAAATTTGCAATCTCCCCTGCTTCTGACAACCTCCTGCTATTGTTAACGGTAATGATAAACCATTGGAAAACAGCCCATTAAATAGTGAAATTACCATACTGCATTTGGGAAAAATCATGTTTGTCAGGATCCATGTGCATATTTTGTTGCTTTGTGGCGCTCAGGTGTCATTAGAGTCGTGGACACATATTGACAAAACCATAGTAATAATAATAATAATAGTCCATTTATATTGCGCGTTTATCCATGCACATTGCATGCTCAAAGCGCTGACATATTACCCCTGGTCAACGTGTGGAGAATACAACCGGTCGCCTGTCAGGCGCTCAAGGTTCAAATTCAGACTACCATCGTATCATACCAGGTACCCAATTTTACTGCTGGGTTGCCATAGTGATAGATTTAAACTAAAAAAACTGTCACTGTTTCACTTATACATGTTTACGGGCATGTTAATGAAGGGGTCGGGTGTGGGGTGGGGGGGTAGATTTGGTGCTTAACCTTTTCCTCTATGTAAATGTAGCAGAATTTAAATAATCTGTATTTTAAACCTAAGTATATAATTTAGTTAAGCAATATAACAACCCTTTGAATTAACACAGCACTCAACTAATCCTTAGATTAAGTTATGTAAGCCTGCATTGGGATCTATTTTTCTTCAGACTCCTGGTCCAGCCACGGCTTGGCTAGTGATTGATTTGCTATTGTTTCTAGAGCATGTGACCAGATCTGGAGTATTATGTACCCCAACATTCATTTTCCTGGTCACTGCTACAATTTCAACTCTTGACTGCAACAATTCCAACTCTGTCTCCTTTATCACAGCACTGAAATTATTGGGGTAAGTTACTTTAGATGTCTTGGTATGTATGTTATCTATGGAGGTTAGGATATGATGTTTTAGTCTAGTAAATTTATCATTTTAATCATATGTCTGAAATATATTATGTGCTGTAATATCATCTACATGATGATATGATGTAAATATTTTATATGCTTAATATCATGACACACTGTTATGTATTATAATTATTACACGTTTGGTTAATATAGACTATAGTGTATACATTGTAGATTAGGTACATATTATGGATGATATGAGAAAAAGTGTGTGTGTGCGTGTGCGTGTGCGTGTGCGTGTGCGTGTGTTTACCGGTAGACTGTGGATTACCTGCGTCCCTGAGATGAGGTAAGTATTTGTATGTCAAGGAAATGCATGGGTTATGTTCTAAATGTTATGTTACATATCAGATTTTCATCTGTATGTCTGTAATTTGTAAGATAAGCTTATATTCATACTTAAATTGAGTAACCCTTGTGGTGTGCAGAAAATATTAAATGCAATTATATGTTTAATGAGTACTTGTTGCTGTATACCAGTAATTTGAGATGTTTGTTTTATTTCAAGGGTTTTATCACCTGATCCATCACCCAAGACAATAAATCCCTGAACCCCTAGCAAGTATTCGTTCGTTTTCAAATCATGACGTGATACCGCTGTTATATACATATGACAGTGGTTTGTAACTGTTTATACACGAGTATCGGATATAACATCGAATTATTAACATTCGCTCACCTTGCATGCATTATTTGTCTAGCTACTGTAGCCTGTTTGGGACGACTGTTCTGCATCTGACTGGGTCCTGTGATGACTGGCGTGTACATGACAAAGGCCTTTGAGCTATGCTTTGACTTTAAAACCCAAATGTAACACGTATGACAACCACCAAATAGACTTAAGGTTGATTCATGGGGAATTGTATTGCTCGTTGTTAGGTTTTGAGGAAACCAAATCTCTTTCAAACGGCAAATGTACGCTGACAGGTCAGTTTACAATACTATGGACACATGTCTGTCATTCAAGCCCCCGCTGGCGCCCCGTTCCATGATATCTATTCATTCTTGTCGAAAAGCAACAAAACCCTTTTCTTATTCATAAGAGATATCAGTTTCGACAACAACTGAACCAGGAACTAACAGTGTCATTGGACTAGCTCGTCCCTCCAGCACGTATGTGGTGTAGTGTATAGAAGAAGTGATCCATTTGCGCGTCTCAGCTAACTTCAGTGAACGTTGACGACAGGGGTTTATTGGGTTGTCGGTAACATGGGTTGTGCGGTTTACCTGATAACTCTGTTGTGGGTAGGACAGACTGTGGACACACGCGGTATGTATCATTTTGTTATCATAGGAAGAATGAATTATCTATGGTGTAATTTGGACGTCGTGAAATCTTTGGAAAGTAGACTTTCAATACTGTGGTTTGTGCCTGGAAAGCGAATTCGAATGTGTGGGATGTGACAAAATAAGAATATCCCGATCTGTGTGTCTGAAAGATTCTCATACTCGTTGTGTCTTGGGATGTTGCAGGTGTTCTCCCTCTTGAACTCACTCAGGTCAAGTCTGGAGATAATGTCACCTTGGTCTGCACTGCCGCCCACACCACCATCAACATGTCAATTACAACATGGTTTCGGAATGAAGCTCGAGTTTTGAATATATTGAGTGGAAACAATGACTGCTTTATTCACCCACCCAACTATACAGACAATACTGCTGGGTATCGTTATGACCTGTACTCATCAAAGGGTGTCAGTGTAAGCTGTACTACTTTCCAGCACAACCTGACACTAACTACAGCTAAATACTTGGAAGCTAGGGACGTGTGGAGATGTAGAGATCAAAACTTCAGAAGTAGTAACAACCTTACGTCAGGTGTGACCTTCTGTTCTATTTCAAGTGCACATGTCCTTGTTTAAACACACGTATCCTGTTATCCTCACGCAACATTGTATGACGCGTACATAATGCACTACAGATGCTACTTGTATTGATACAATTCCCCTGATGTACACCAAGTTGGACTTAAGTCGTTCGTTCCCGGAGTCCCGGAGGCGGTTACATAAAGTAGATTGTTCATGAGTGTTTCGTGTCATAGGTAGTTTATATTATTTATGCTATATTTTGCTTTATTTAGGAACTTATGTATACATCCGTTATTACTTGTATTGATACCATCCCCTTCATTTACACCAAGTTATTCTTAAGTCGTTCGAAGACGAAACTGTTTCTTTCGAAAAAATGGAGATATATGTCCGACGATTGTCAGTGTAAGCTGTAGTTACCTCCAGCACAACCTGACACTAACTACAACTGAATACGTCAAATCTGGAACCGTGTGGAGATGTGAAGATCAAAACTACAGGAACAGTACCAACCTTACGTCAGGTGTGACTCTCTCTCTGTCCTATTTCATTTACGTTTATTCTTAACACACGTAGCCTGTTCACCCCACACATCCTTGACTCACCCTACATGCATCAATACACAAGTATACATCTAGTGAATCATTGAGGGGGTCAAATACAATAGAATGTTTAAGTTGGGGTTGTGTCAGAGTTAGTTTATTTAATGTGTGTTTTAATGTTTTAAGGAACAATTCACGAATCTGCTTCAGCCCTGACTGATCCAGCAACAATAGCCACAAGAGTCCACATTGACACCACAATACTCATGACGGTTGTGTGCAAGTTAAACTAGCGTCTGTCGATGATGTAAACGATATTTCGGATTTACCATATTAGCCATGAAATATCTGACTGTGTGCTATGTGCAGTATTCATCTGTACTTTACTAAGAAAGTGTAATGCCAAATATAACATATGTTACTGATATTGAGAAGTATTTAAGGTACAACTGAGTGCATTCTGTTCTTATTCCAGGAACATGAACCAGCAAATTTCTTTCTTTCTTTAGTTTTGAATGTAGACTTCTCAGGCTCTGTCTCTGAGTCAACTCCACCACTCACTGATTCATCAACAACGTTGGGAATATCTACATCAAAGAAGACAACTCCTGACACTAACACCGATAATGAAGGTAGTGGTGTACTAATCAAACTAATGTTTGCCTCACATTCATACGAACATCTGATACTACCATGTGCCCTAGGCAACTGATCTGCGTCAAAACGAGGTACACACGTAGTCTCACTTCCCTTTCAAAGTCACAACTTCCACATCATCATAGTCTTGTTTCGTGTTCGTGAAACATTAGACAGTGAATGACATCATAAAGTCGGCATTCAGATTGTATTCAACTCATTGCATGGATTATCTTCACTTGAGGCTTAAGGCTGGCTCTGTTGCTAGGGCAGCGTCCATCAAATCTGTGACACCACTTCGTTTTCATTACAAACCTGTTATTAGAAGTTACACACAGGATCGAATGCTAAGGAATTATGACGCCATGTAGGTACTAATAGGCTGCATGCAATAAAACCAACTATCGCTTGGACCGACTTAGTTCTTCAGTAGAGAATTGATGAACTCAGTTAACGATGATGTCGTATTGACCATCCAAGAATGAATATTTGCTGAAAAACGAGGATTCTCCGTGATAAAAGACTCGGGGTCAAGCATGTCATGCTTGATTTTTTTCAATCAAGAGGGGTTAATATTTCTAATCACCATCTACGAAGGGGCATTTTAATACTTTAGTATTTTTCTTTTCTAAAGGACATCCATTTGGTTGTTACATTTTGATGACAAATTAGTATTGATTTTAAGTATTTTATTTTAGTAGGAAATATATATATTATTATATAAATATATATATATTAAAAACGAGATTGCTATTGGCTGTGCCCTGAAAGGGCGTTGAAGTTGTATAATCTTCCCCTTGAGAAGTCCCATGTCAGGGGAGGTGGGGAAGTTGAGCACTCGCTCGTCTTCCCCCTGAGAAGTCCCATGTCAGGGGAGGTGGGGAAGTTAAGCACTCGCTCGTCTTCCCCTTGAGAAGTCCCATGTCAGGGGAGGTGGGGAAGTTAAGCACTCGCTCGTCTTCCCCCTGAGAAGTCCATTGTCAGGGGGGTGGGAAGTTAAGCACTCGCTCGTCTTCCCCCTGAGAAGTCCCATGTCAGGGGAGGTGGGGAAGTTAAGCACTCGCTCGTCTTCCCCCTGAGAAGTCCCATGTCAGGGGAGGTGGGGAAGTTGAGCACTCGCTCGTCTTCCCCCTGAGAAGTCCCATGTCAGGGGAGGTGGGGAAGTTGAGCACTCGCTCGTCTTCCCCCTGAGAAGTCCCATGTCAGGGGAGGTGGGGAAGTTAAGCACTCGCTCGTCTTCCACTTGAGAAGTCCCATGTCAGGGGAGGTGGGGAAGTTAAGCACTCGCTCGTCTTCCCCCTGAGAAGTCCCATGTCAGGGGAGGTGGGGAAGTTAAGCACTCGCTCGTCTTCCCCCTGAGAAGTCCCATGTCAGGGGAGGTGGGGAAGTTAAGCACTCGCTCGTCGTGAAGACCCGGGTTCGATTCCCCACACGGGTACAATATGTGAAGTCCATTTCCTGTGTTCCCTGCCGGGATATTGCTGAAATATTACTAAAAGCGGCGTAAAATTAAGCTCACTCACCCCATGTCATTAAAAGTCATTTTATTACATACATGTGTTTTTAGTGACGTTTACTTGTTCCTTTAATGTTTGGCTAAATTTCTCATTACCCGCAAAACCCTGAAGGGATTGTGTTAATTCAGAATACAATACAGGTAATATATGTCCTTATAGGGCCCCTGGTATTATGATATACGTTTAGTTGCTGGCGATCTATAACCTGTTTTATGTTTATCGTTCTTTATTGTGATATCTTTTTATTGTGATAACATGATAGATTTACATAAAACCACGTGGCACTCTAGTTGATTTACTGCCAGGTTTACATAGAATAAATGAGCTCACTTATAGTTATACTTATAAGTATATGAATTGTTCAAGTCACGGTGTTGCTGAAATAAATATAATTCCGTTGATATTAATTTATCCTTTTCTCTTTTTCTACAAGGCGACATAATGTACATAACGGCTTGGACTGTAGGTGGCTCTGTGTTCCTCGTTATCATTGTGGTCTGTGTATGTGTTTTAAGGAAGAAAAGAAAGCGGAAAGTCACAGAAGGTAAACAACACCTCGTTATGACGGTCATGTCATGTTACAATTATTTGTCATCCGAAAGATGTTCTTGTTTTAGCATCGATAATGCTAAAATCGACTCTCAACTTCCGTCTGTCGTTTCATTTCTGTAACGCAAAATCTATGAAAATCGCTCCTGGGGCAGGGCTCCAGGATACAAGTGAACTAAATGCACAGTCATGTACATGACTCTCAGTCCCTTTTGTGTTGTACTAATATTTTGTTTCTAAAGACGAGACAAAAATGCATTCAACGATGCCAATACATGTCCATGTTTGTATAATATATACTTATTGTTACTATGATTGTCACATCCATTACACTTCAGTCGATAACCGGGGTGGTGGGGTAGCCTAGTGGTTAAAGCGTTCCCTCGTCACGCGTAAGAACCAGGTTCGATTCCCCAAATGGGTACAATCTGTGAAGCCCATTGTATGTGTCCCCCGCCGTGATATTGCTGGAAAGTCACTCAATCGATAACCAATTGTTGATATTTATATTCTGAAGATATGAACTAAACTGTTCTTCCTTCTTCACAAGCTAAGTAGATATCTTATATGACTGATACTATTTCCAAAGCCAAGGAAAGAATCAGCGGCAATTTGAGGCTTAGTAGAAAATTGCTTTCTGCTTTAATGTCGAGGAACACTTTCGTCATGCCACCAGTAGGTATATGCAGTATGTATCTTCACACAAGAATATCAAGTATATTAAGGCACATTTATGTCGCAACATATCTATGTGTCAGATTTGTGTATTTCTATGTACAGATATAGACGTGTCACTGGGTGTGGTTGCTGCACCTGTGTACGACACTTTGACTCACGATGCCAGTGACGACCCTTGTTACACCGGGATCAGGATGGGAGATGCTGGACAGTCCGGCACAAATGTCATAGATGTTTACTACAACACGGTACCTAATGCTGACTACGAAAACCCACCTTTGAGAACATAGTGATGTCAAAATACTTTTTGTAATCAGGTTATATGCATCTTTAAGCGTTTCTGGCATTGTTTTGTCATTCTTTAGCAGGCTTATTGCTTGTGTACCCACCACGAAAACTAACACTCTCCTGAACGGTGTTTGAGTTGCGAATACTACCTGAAGATCATGACATGCGTACCGTTTCCCCTAACACCAAGTATCAGTGCTTGTTTTAGTGATCACTTCATGAAGTTTTGACCATAACTGTGGCTCTCTCTACTCAATACTGAGTGTTATTGTCGATTTCCTCTAAACAGTTTACACTGAGTTATCGGTTGTGCAAACACCGCGTATGCTTAATTCCATTTGATGTTATTTGTTCGGTTGTAGTTAAACGCCGAAATCATCAATAGGTGTTGTGGGAATAATTGAGTTTGGACAAACCATCCAGTGGTGGACATCACGAGCGTCAATCTACGCAGCTGGAATACGAAGACCTGGATCAAACAATTTAGCGAACCTGACGACAAGCATGGGTTACTTAAGAGCAATTCTAATCCGTATCTTTACAGGTTCAACATGATTTGAAAACGTGGACGGCTGTTTGTTGGGAATGAATGACTGAGTATTGACACATCACAATATGCTTCCGAGAATGTTCTGCAACTAGCTTTGTGACGTTTTGTTTCTGTTTTGTTTCTATTGTATGATTATTAGATTACTGTACTGTATAAATAAATCATCAATCCTTTTTACATCTGTGTGCATCTGTTTCTAGCTAACCCCAACATTTTGGGTTTATTATTAAACATTGCAATGTATACATTTAAGTAAATGTCCACCACAAGATGATGTAGACATGCATTTCGACCAGGAAGAATTCATGTTCGCATCCCGCCAAGCTCGTTTATAGCGACACTTGACGTTGTGGTTCGAATGGTTATATAATATCAAAGAAAAACGATCAAAGTTTATGAATAGTATCTACTATGACACCCATCAACATTTGTATAGCACTCAATGTGATTTATAATGTGAAATGAATGCACACGTCACGGCTGCTTGTATCACCAAACGGTTAAATGATCATAACGCAAATTTTGTATATCTCTTGATGCTGTGCACCGTTGTCATTTTAAATCCTAATTATTCTATTATGAGATGTACAAGTACATTTCGAATGCAAAGGTGCAGCAGTAAATCCCTGTTCAGACCAACTGGCCGCTCATTAGAACGTAAACGTAACTCTCTGCAGTGTTAAACACATGTGCTCATGTGACATTCATGTATTCATCAATTTCCAAACCAGGAAAACATTTAAACAAGAGCGGTTGCTGATTGTAGATTGCCCAATACCTCCGTTATCGGGGTGTATTTCACACACAGGTCAGCTGCCATGTTTTTCCGCCTTGGTTTCTTAGTGTTACTCCGAACCTGTTTCGTGTGAAGTGTCTTCATTCGGAATACATCAACCAACGCCTGTATATGGTAGACAAGAGTGTACTGGACGTGCTGGAAACATGGACATCAGGATTTACCTGGTTACTCTGTTGTGGATAGGATGGATTGCGTACACACAGAACGGAAGTGGGTTTGAGTTAATCATTTGAAAATTTGAATCAGTTGCATATTATAGGCGCGATTGAAAGTTTATAGAAGCGTGTAATAACGACGGTCTATACATGTTGTATGTCGTTGCTAAACTTGAGTGGGTACTGCACATTTTAAATAATGAGAAAGTAAGAAAATCACGATCCGTGTGTTTCACTGATTCTCATACTCGTTGTGTCTTGGAATGTTGCAGGTGGTCTCCCTCTAGAACTCACTCAGGTCCAGTCTAGAGATGATGTCACCTTGGTCTGCACTGCCGCCAACACCACCATCAACATGTCAATTACAACATGGTTTCGAGATGAAGCTCGAGTTTTGAATACATTGAGTGCAAACAATGACTGCTTTATTCACCCACCCAACAATACAGACAATACTGCTGTGTATCGTTATGACCTGTACACATCGAAGGATTTCAGTGTAAGCTGTACTACCTTCCAGCACAACCTGACACTAACTACAACTGAATATTTGGAAGCTGGGGACGTGTGGAGATGTAAAGATCAAAACTTCAGAAGTAGTAACAACCTTACGTCAGGTGTGACCTTCTGTTCTATTTCATGTACACATGTTCCTTGTTTCAACACACGTATCCTGTTATCCTCACACAACATTGTATGACTCGTACATAATCCAATACAGATGTATACATCCGTTACTTCTTGTATTGATACCATTCCCCTCATGTACACCAAGTTATTCTTAAGTCGTTCGAAGACGAGACTGTTTCTTTCGAAAACATGGATATATATATCCGAACAGCAATCAAAACAGAACCCCGGAGGCGGTTACATAAAGTAGATTGTTCATGAGTGTTTCGTGTCATAGTTAGTTTATATTATTTATGCTTTATTTTGTTTTATTTAGGAAACAAAAACGAACCAGTTTAACCCCTGACTGATCCAGGAACACCAGTCACAAGCGTCCACAATACGCATGGTAGTTGCGTGCAAGTTAAACTAATGTTTATCTCCTATTCAAGCATTTAAACATTTTATTGAGGCTAGTTACATATTTACACCCATGTCGACGTAAGCCATTTAGCGGTAAATATCTGACAGTGCTATGTATAGCATTCATCTGATATATCTTATCCACACGATGTAGGCTGCAAGATGTCTGATTGTCCGTTCACAAACGTACTATGAAGTACAGTTGTTGAAGTATTCAAAATACAATGTATGTTTCGTCGTCAGATATGAATACAGACTTCTCAGGTTCTGCCTCTGAGTCGACTTCACCACTGACTGATTCACCAACAACGTTGGGAATATCTACATCAAGAAAGACAACTCCAGACACACACAGCGATAATCAAGGTAGTTGTGTACCGGTTAAACGCTTAGTTACATGTGTATTTAGTGAAACAATTAATAATCAATGTTATTTTAATATAATTAAGCCCCGTTATTAGCTTGCTCCATTTTGCTTGCACATGTGTTTGGCAGAGAATGAATACGAAAAATGAGAGATCGATTGTGCATAACGATGTACCAGATACAGTAAATAAGATCAGTAAATACGATATTACAACATTACAATGAATAATATTATAATAATCAAGTCAATGTATGTTTTAATTCCCCTTCAAAGCCACCTATATGAAGTTTCTGTACATTAAATATGACAAAAAAGCTGATGTCACATCGACAATATTTCAGCCATATATATGATACATACAGTCATAGGTCATAGCATAGCTTCTCTATAGACTTAGCATGTCTTTATATGAGGTTCTTGAGACGCATTTAGATGTCTCTATATGTTTGTGTTTAACTATTCACTCCTAAAACTGCTGTCTATGTACCTATAGTTATACATCTGGGCATCTTATATACTGGCAAGCATTTAAATACGACTACTAGTAACTAAAGTGACGACGTAAATCCTACTGGAGTACTGATCCCCAGAGACCTGGGCCTCCTTTAAAAAAACACTAAGTCGATCGTAAATCACTAAGGTAACCTTAGTGCAATGTTAAAGAATTGAAGTTAACGTTAACCTCAGTAAAGGAGCCCCTGGTCTAGCTTTGGCTGACCCTGTTTTGAACAGTTATTAATAATATGACTTCTTATGAATATATGTAAAAAAACTACATTAAATATAACATTGTATACGTATCTTTACCTATCTGTTCAAACCTGATTTCGCCACTATAGAAATATAACCCACTAAATCATAAATCATACTTTTGCCATTTTCAATAACCAAATTCTGTACAGTTCTTATTTTTCTCTTCCAGATGACATCAGATATATCTCGGCTGGAGGAGGTGGCGCCGTCATCCTCACTATCGTCGCTATCTGTGTCTGTTGTGTTAGGAGGAGAAGAAAGAGGAAAGCCAACCAAGGTAAGTGAACCTCTTTTTATGACGGACGCTACACGTTACCATCATTTAGCATCATATTCTGAGTTGATGGGAAGTAATTAAACTATCGCTCACGAACATTCATGAACACATAAAGCATCATATATATATATATATATATATATATATATATATATATATATATATATATATATATATATATACATATATCGTCCGGGTTCGTGTCCACAAACAACAAATAAAGTGTCCTGAAACCCGATGTACCTCACTGAGTGAACATCTAGATGTCTGTGCGAAAGGAAACGATGTTAAATTTACAATATTTCCTTTTTATCAAGTTCAAAATTCGGACAAAGTAAAACGAATTTTAAAACAACACTACTTCATAGACAAGTTCAAACCAATGTTAAACCATTACAAGCTGTGACCTTGTCGCTCTAGAATGTTGTCCCTATTGTGACGTCACGACATATATGTCATGACGTCATACTGTAACCGCTACAATCTTCCTGAAGAGTAAAGAACGAAACATGTTGGAGAAAAAGGCATTGTTTTTATTTACCTATGTGTATGTATGTATGTGTGTATGTATGTATGTATGTATGTATGTGTGTGTGTGTGTGTGTGTGTGTATGTATGTATGTATGTATGTATGTATGTATGTATGTATGTATGTATGTATGTATGTATGTATGTATGTATGTATGTATGTATGTATGTATGTATGTATGTATGTATGTATGTATGTATGCATGCATGTATGTATATTTATATTACAGTTTTATGAAAGTATCATACAACTGGTACTTGGTTATTCAAGCTTTTAATACAGTCACATTATTATTAAAACATATCCCAGGAAAACAGATAATAGATATGTGAAGACTGATACAATAAACAAAACTCATGGATGATCAATTCGGTTAACAGCTGTCAACGACGCAGACAATGGTGCCGAGTTACCGGAAACAGCAACAAATGCAACGTAAGTAAAGCGTCAGTCGTCTCACTGTACGTGTGACATGTCAGGTTTTATATTTCACCACCAATGGCTATATGATTGTTCTTTAGGTAACTACCTCAAGTAAAGAGTATGTTATACCAAATGAACGTTTCATTCATTGAAGTGGTTTGAAAATGCGAGTTAACACAGCTGGTCAGAAGACAATAGTTAACTCTTCCATTCAGAACTGTTGCGAAACGCTACCTGCCAATGAAACGTTGTTGGGAACATTTATAAATATTAGTGTTTGGCATAATAAGTACAAGTGGCATCTCTTCTTAATGTTAACACTGATTTTATTAACCCACGGGAAATCATCACATTTTTAGTAGCATAATATAGTAAATTGATTGTCAGCTCTTTATAACTTTGTCGTATCAACAAACCTGACCAGAGATAATTCACAAGAATCATTATTCAAGAAGACATAATATTAGTTCGGGTTGCTGGTGATGCCCAAAGCCAGTTAAGTTCATGACATACGAAGTCATTCACTGTATCAATTATGTCGCATCTAGAGTTGAAAACTGAAACTCAAAATAGGGAAACTATCACTGGGCTAAATTGTACATTTCACATGTCACATGTAATAATTGGTTATCATTGTATATATTAATGTATTCCAGTGTTGAAACCCGCAACCATCAATAACTTTTGAAAGAAAAATAAATGAAATTGTTGTTCTTTTAGAAACCATAATGTACCCCTAAACAACATGGGACATTTAACAAGTAAGTGTTTACAGTTGTCGTCTCCTGCCCTTTACCACCAATCTGCTGGTATACTCGAGTGGTGATCATGGAGTGTTGCCTGGTCTGGGAGGTTCAGTAATTTCAGTGAGAATATGGCGTGTTAGTTGTATATTCTTACTTAATGGAACACCATGATTATATGTTCAACCGAACACACGAAATAGTAAAAAGAATTATTTGTACCCCATGATACAAATGTATTTGCACGACAATCAGTTAAGACAACAGGGCAGATCCTAATAACAGTGTAGACATTTTGGACCATAACATAATGTGTTCGAACATTGAATTCAGTAGGGTTACGCCTTTTCTCTTAAGATGTGTACGCGCTGGTACACAGAACCATGGAGGGTGAGCCAGAGCATTCTGCTGTGGAGACCGACGATGAGGCACCAACACAGCAGTCGGATGGAGACGGTGTTGTCAACGTTGGTGATCCATACGTCGTGCCATACAAGGCACCTCAACGCCAACCTGCTGTAGGTGGTGTTGTAAACGCCGATGATCTATACGCCGTACCAGACAAGACACCTAAACATCATCCTGCTGTTGACGGTGTTGTAAACGTTGCTGATCTGTATGCTGTACCAAACAAGTCAAAGGAAACACGGAAGGAAACATGTAAGTATGTTTGACGTTTGGAGTATGGAGTACTGTTTCTCGGTGGTATACAGTACTGTCTGACCGGGATTTGTTTGTTATACGCTCAATATAGGTCGGGTTGGTATTGGTCGGTGACATGTTTAATTTGGCAACTGAGATGTTGAGTGGCCAGGCTCGGTAACAGGGAACGCTGGGTTAGCTTAGTGGTTAAAGCGTTCGCTCGTCACGCCGAAGACCCGGGTTCGATGACCCACATGGGTTTAATGTGTGAAGCCCATTTCTAGTGTTCCCCGAGATGATATAGCTCGAATATTGCTGACAAGGCATCGTAAAACCAAACTCACTCACTCGGTGCCATTGATGATGATGTATACAGATCGCGCAGGTCGTTATTTTGAATGGCAATCACTGGAAAGTTTGGTCCATTCTAGATTATTTAAGACCTTCCCCGTAAAGCGGGAATGGTGCTAAGTGAAGCATTTAGAACAAACATGACCTGGCTGATTGTGCATCATTATAGCTGTGGTGCGTCAAAAGGTTGTCATAACATTAACCATTGGTCGAGGGTCAGACTCGACTATCTCTAGGTTGCTATTCCTGACAGACATTTTGTTTGTGCGATATGTGGTAGAAACAACATGGACTGAATGTGTATATATGGTATAACATATTGGTGTTGCAGATAGTGTAGAAATCAACAGTGAGTATAGTGAAATCTGAATGGACGAAGAGTCACTGTTTTGGTGCGGCCAGTGTGTCGGACACTTAATGAAACCCTCGCTTACCCAAGGGACTGCAAACGGAGGGACTCATGAATCGTGGGATTGGTGGATCATTACTGCGCTCCGCCCAGACACGGTCTGTCGACCCTCGGTTCGAATCCAACATACGTTCTGTTTAGGATGCGCGGTTTGGCAACACGTTATCTGTTGTTAAAATGTGTTAATTTGTCATCTGCATCTAAAATCCGAACTAAAACGTTAAGAAGCAGCAGTAAAACCCGACTGACTCACTGACTCACTGACTCACTCGCTTTACAGTCGGGTTTGAACTGTTTTTTAGCAACCCATGCGTGTCGTAAGAGGCGATTAACGGGATAGGGTGGTAGCGCTCGCTGACTTGGTTGACATATGTCAGCCCGTCGTTACTGCGTAGATGGATGTTCATGATTTTGGTCACTCAATTGTCAGGTCTTGACTCGATTATTTACAGGCTCTGGAATAATGTTGCGCGCGGCGAGCAAACACGCATTCACTTAACCCTAAGTATCGTGCGCAATATCCCACCATTGTTGACTGGGGCGTAAGCCATTTTCTTCAGTGGGGCTGTGGAGTAGCCTAGTGGTAGCCGAAACTCGGGTTCGATTACCCGCATGTGTAATGCCCATTTCTGGTGGCCCGGGCCGTGATATTGCTGGAATATTGCTAAAAGTTGCATAAAACTAAACTCACTCACCTTTACCTGTCTTTGACAAATATGTCAGATCTGTTGTATATATAGATGACAAATATATTTTTCCATTTTTTTGGGTTTGATCTATTTTTAGAGTAGTCAAACATATATCTTTATATATCGTTGCTTCTGTTTTACGTCCATTTCTGGTGTCCCCCGCCGTGATGTTGCTGGAATATTGCTAATAGCGGCGTAAAATCAAGCTCAGTCAGTCAGTCAGTCAGTCTGTTTTACGTCACTTGTGATATTGGGTGTCTCGTCAGACACATTATATTAATATTTTTCAACACTTATGCTCTTACCAACAAATCCATATTCGTTTTGATGTTATGACTATGAGTATTCCACCAGCCAGTTTGGACAACGAATTTGCACGCTCCCTTCACGTAACATTGCTTTTAATCGTATCTGGAATGTCAAACTACAGGAAAACGACATATGATTAAATGTTTCGTCATTCAATATAAACAAAGAATATGTTATCAACCAGGAAAATCGCCTTAGAATATTTGATCCGAAACGAATGTGGAAGCTGATATAACAGGAAATATTACAATACAGCTGTGTGTGTGTTCAGTGGAGTTGTTCGCCTCAGTATGTCTCGGGGAACACAACTCAATTGCTGAATGATATAGAATTCATACATAGTGAATTGTGAATTTCATTTGTAGCATTCATCTGTTATCAGCAAGGCGGTTTGCATTGCTTCCTCGGTACGATTGTGTTTCTGACAGACATTCGAGATGTGCACAGTTTCTAAGGGAATTATTATTAGTGTGGTAGCGACAATCTGTATTTCACATTAGCAACACTACATAACTTTGATCATATATTTCAACATGTGTTAATGTCAAGATCTCTTCTCAAAGAAGTGTATAAACAGTTAGAATAAAGGTCCCCTCTATGATGTTGTCAAAGATGTACATAGGTGATACTCTTACAATGTATATATGTTCAATGTAAAATATACATTTTCCCACTTCTGATTTATGAACATTTTCCACAAATACATTGCAGTTGTGTTTCACAAATCATAAGTGTTTGATGGGAAAAAATAAAACAACATGTTCATGTTGTCCCACCTGTTACATCAACGATTACTTTGATGGATATGAGTTCCACTGCCATGGGCCCGGTTTTTACATTGCATTGTCCTGTATTGTAATAAAGGTTTTAATGCTTATATGTTAATTCCTACCTGTGATAACCTAGCTGTTTTGCTGTCCTTTGTTGACAGATTTAATAAAGTAACTTTATTAAGTATTAAAATATATATTGTTATAGTCACGATATGGCTGCAATATTGCCGATGTGACGATGTGCGCCGATGTGACGATGTGTGCTGATGTGACGATGTGCACCGATGTGACGATGTGTCTGCAACATTGCCGATTTGACGATGTGCGCCGATGTGACGATGTGCCTGCAATATTGCCGATCTCGTCTCACTCACTCACTCCACTGGCATGTAGTAGCACTTTCATATCTGCTTTCAGCAATGAATTAAGCACACCTAAGCTACAACTGTATGATATTATTTTAATTTGCACAAAATCGTACTGATATAAGAACACTTTAAACAGTGTGACATCAATTCGGAGTTAAACGAAAAAGATAAAAACAAAATTATAAGCGTACAATCGCAAATCGAAAGTGCAATATTTTGTACTTGGGTTTACTTCCCAAGAAATGAAGCAGCCGGGATACCGAACCCAGTCAGAGCGGGTGGGTGAGCAATCAAGTGTAACGTCTGGTTCATTTGCATATGTCCCCACGGCTCATTATGTGTGTATATATAGAGATGTTGGGTTTTGTAAATACATGCTCATTTTTTGTGTATAACATTTTGCAATCAACAGACACCATAACATGTCATGTGTACAAGTATCACACCTGCCTGTCTGTGTAATTATATAATGTGACAGGGAACGAACTCGGGCCATACATCAATGCATATCGTTTATGGTGAACAGCCTGATAGGTGTTAAGTTCAAATTGCATGTGGTCAGTGATCGAAGTTGTGTATTGAATATTATCATTAGTAGACAGGCAGGCAGACACATAGGTGTCAATAAAACAGACATTGAGTTTTGTCTGTGACAACGACATATCTATATCACAGTTAGACATTCTGTCAACGCTAAATAATGACATTGCTTTTAAGTATCGAAGTGAGAAAAGGACTCGGTAAGAAGAACGTGTGGCGAAATAGACAAATGAAATTATATAAACAGCTAAATCTGTAATCTACTGTGATAACATATAAAGAGCTCGCGCCTGTGGAATATCAACAAAACATTGGAAAAATAGCTCAAACCAAAGCCTTCACCGAGTATTCACCGGACAACCAGCTTCCAAGTTGCGCGAACCTATTTCATTGCACATGTGCCATGAGCGCAGCCCAGGGCAGCGCAGCCCAACTGTTGAAACCACTTTCCCCCCAAGCGCTGGGGGAAAATTAGTGAATCGTTTGAACTCCGATTTCGCGCGGTTTTTTTCATCGCGTTACATTTTTTCATTCGCGTTGCAATTTTGATGATTTGTTTCGGTAAGTCCATACTGCATGTGACCTTTAAATAAATTGTGTCGTCATTGTCCATTCATTTTGTACATATAATATGTAGATGCTGATACAATAATTTTTTTGGGTGATGATGAAATCAACATTTTTTTCCGATGTATCGGATAACATCTGCCTGTCTTGCCAGCAAGAGTCTGAAACTGACAGGACGCGATACATGTTTCAAGAACAAATTGAGAGGATACCTTACTTCGAAGGTATATCACGAACTGAATCCTTCTCCATCAGGATCAGGCACCTAGAAGTTAAGTGCCATGGAGTATTAATATTGGCTTGTTGTAGAAATATGTTATTGTGTTCTCCCCTTGTGAGTTCCATGTGTTTTCAAAGCATATTGGTCAAGTGATCAAAGCTGGGACTGCGAAGAAGAGACAACTCTGGTTTGTTTTATTCATGTCTGGGACAGAGAGGGATAAATCCAAGATATTGCAACTGTTGACCATCAGCACACTCTACGTGAAGGTCCGGGTTAGGATATTGACCTTCAGTAACCCATGCTTGTCGTAAGAGGCGACGAACGGGACCAGGGGGTCAGACATCGGTTCCCAATTGCGCAGATCGATGCTCATGCTGTTGATGACTGGTCTGTCTGGTCCAGACTCGATTATTTACAGGCCGCTGCCATATAGCTGGAATACTGCTGAGCGCGGCCTTAACCTAAACTCACTCACTAACTACTTGAAGGATAGCTTACATTTGCTCTACTGGTACCATCCTCGATAATCTCCAGGGTATATGTAAATTAATTGCAAGTTTCTCTTGTAGACCTTTGGCGGCTTGTACATGTATATTTTATCAACATGTGTATGTATTCTTTGTATGTAAGAGATGAGGCATACATAAACAATTTTTTTCTCTTATATCATTGTGTGAGGTTTAATTTTACAAACTGACAGTGACATACTGCGATTTACTTACATTCTTTATAATCTATACGATATTAGCGTCTTTGCCGATACATTTCTGGTGTATACTGAATATTTCAAGGAAAGTGCTATTACGCTAGTCTGTGACTAACATAGAGAACATTCATAGCTTGGCACTTTGTTTCATCTAGATTTAATGCTAAAAAACATACGTTATCATACGAACATACATTTAAATTTTGTGTAATACAGATTCCTTGTATACACATAAAACAAAGAGTCATGTGAAAGGGCGTCATCAAATTTCCCGAACAGAACGTTTGGAATCTGAACTGTTCAATATAGGGGCTGATCATTTGTTATCTGTTACCAGTCGTATCATGAGATACCTGTCACAGAGGAAAGGACAGGTGATGGGGCGTGGGCGAAATATCTGAAGACCACGTTTGGTCACTCAACAGCTGGATAGAGATTGATTATTGGCTATACCGTTGACAGTCGATGTGCTGGGTTTCAGCTTCATCAACGCAAGCTATCATGTAACAGTTTGTGTATTGTAAACATACATAATCGTAACGATCTGTGAAATATAAACATAAGGCAAATAGGAGAAGATAGATGTCAGAGATCGAAAACACATTTTAGTGTTTTTCGATAGGTAAAACAAAGTGATTGAAATCCAGTCATTGAGTAGAGACAGTATTTATTTTTATATACATTTTACGCACACAACTAGTACATAAAAGATACATGTTAACATAATCTTCACTTTGATACGAACGAATATCCAAATTAAAGTACACGTATTATAGAATTCAAAAAGTGACACGATACTGAATTATTATAATGTATAAACTTGCAGTTTAACCCCC